AATATCCGAGGGAGTCATGCCACCAACGGGCTCAGGAGGTCATGACGCCATAGCCACCTTTCGCCTCAACTGGAAGATGTGGTGGTAACAGCAGCAGTTGCCGCTGCCTTCTCAGAGGGAGGCTTTGCTACCGTTGCAACCTCCACGCCGACCGCCATTTCACCCGGAGGTTCGTGGCAATAAGGCAACAGCCGCTGTCTCAGCAGCTGCAGGAGGTGCGATCTGAACAGGAGCGGCTCACAGTGGCTCAGGAGTGGCAGGGAGTGGGTCCAAAGCAGCTGTGTCAGCTCGGCACTGTGGAGAATTTTGTTGTCGCAGGCAGAGAATGGGAAGCCTTAGATTGGCGTTAAAAGCGCTACCTATGCTGGTGAATGCCGAGGCCCCGGCCATATTCTCCAACATTCTCGGGAACAGGAAGACGATGCTGCGGCCTTGCTTACAGAGAGGTGACGGAGACACTCGACCTCCCCCATCAGATCACCACACATCGCTTCCAGCACCATCAGCGAGCGGCCTCCGAGACCTCGCTGGCGTACCGCAGCGGGCCGTTCCCGCTACGAACTCGCGCCGGACGTCGTGGTAGCCGAAACACATGCTGCGTTGACGTGGAAGGTGCACACAACTCCCTCCGGGTCGCCAAGAACACGCACGCGTACGAGGAATTGACGAGGGGGCCAACCCACGTGGTGGCCCAGGAGCGGTGGCCAACCACGGGCGGGGGAGTTTTCTGCAGGGAGCGCAACGGCCGTGACTTCAGAACACCGGAGGGGCAGCGTGTGGCTGCTGCGGAGTCAAGGCTGGAGGAGACGGTGGCGATAAAAAAAAAAAAAACCCGGGAGCTGTCTTCGAGACACCGGTCGGCGGTACGACGACCCCGCCGTCGGACGCCCAAGCGACTCAGAAGCGGCGTCGCGTCCATGAGCATGCATCGGCCGTCATCGCCGTGGCCGCAAAGGTCACGTTAGGCGAGGATGTCGCAGAGGTCCTCTTGAGACGGGATCGGCCCCCCACTTGGGGTCACCCCGTCTGACGTCCTCCATCACCACGGAAAGCCGTGCAGAATCACTGGGCTCTTCACCATCGCATTGTACATCCGTCGTACTCGCCATCCAACTCCTCTTTATGGGTCACCACCACCACCACCACCTCGGAATTCCGAGCAAGGGACAATTCAGTGGCCCGTCTCGGTCACCCGTTGGCACAAGTTGGCTAGACGGGTGGCAGCGGGAATGCAGGGGACGTCCGTGATGTCGACACATGCATTCGACGTGCTACCTACCTGCAGAGTTTCAGCAGCAGCTGTACCCGGTACAGACATGGTATGTAGCAGCCAACGGCGGGGGGGGATAGTATGGGCACACTGAGTCAGGTGAGGGTAGCCATACGCATTGGTGAGTGAGCCACATCAGTCGCAATTCTCGTTTCCAACACGCTCACTGTGCTGGGGATGGATTTGTTTTTTTAAATCGGAATCCATTGAAACGTAATACGTCCAAAAGGTGCCACTAAACTGCCTGCGCTTGTTACGCATCGCGAGCGAAGGGAAAAGGAGCGCCCCCAATGGCAGCTATCGCTTGCGAGTCTGTAATCATTCCGCATGCGGCGCAGATATTGGTACCCTTGTGATTATCGCACTCCCCTGATAACCCCCTATCCCAGTTTCTCCTGTGGGGGCAGTGGCGGAGTGTCACGCGTTTGTGGGGAGCAGAGACAGCCGAGCGTAGCAATCAGCTGTTGTTCGCCCAGCTCTTGAATGCATCCGGTTTGCCCACTGCAGAGCAGGCTGGCATGGTTCTGGCTCCGGCCAAACGCCTTCGGAATCGGAGGTAGCCGATTTCTGAGTTGGTAGCCGCTGTTGGTCCGTCTGCTATTTCTACGTCAAACCTGAACCTGTCAGACAAGGCATGCTCAGAGGCTGTGGGGTGCTCTACAGTCGTGCGAGCATCACAATAACATTGGGGATGCTGTCCCTCTTAGGCAACATTCTCCTTATAGAATGAGTTCCGCTGACAAAGCTCATGTTCAGCGGGTGACGGAGAGGTGTAAGTCATGTGGACGGCATTAGCCGTGGAAAAGCGCTCGCCTTTTGCCTTAGAACTGCGACCAACAGCCGCCACCTCGGCGGTGCCTGAATTTTCTTTGAGGCCCACGTTGTGGGAATGGACGAGGGATGGTGAGGATGATACGTTTACGAAAAGGACATTTCTAGCAAAAAAAAAAATATATAACAAAAATATTTTTTCCAACGAATTCCTTGATGTGCTTTTGTGCGGGTGGAGTGAAGTAATGGAGGGGGTCAACTCCACAGGCTGTGGTTGACGTGTGAAAAATCGCATTTTGGTCCGTGGTTTTTTTCACCTTTTGAAATGTACAATAGCCGAGAAAAAAACACACACACACACAAAGAGCGCGCATTAATTTTCTTGACATCTCTGACCGCGGTCAGTTTATTTTGTTGGGCAAGGTCCCTTTTGAACGAAAGAAGCTCATTTTCACTGGCACCACAGTCAAGCGTGCGACCCTCACAAGTGGCAGACGAAGAGTTCAATTCCCGTTCGAGGGATCGACTCACTACACCGCCTCTACTGGGGACAATAAAATAAACGCCGCTTCGTGGCGAGTAAACGATGCCCTCTCTTCCCAACAACGCCCATCGGCATGTGGAATTTTCGCGAACGCCCCTGCCCTCGCACACGTGTGTTTGAGCAGGGATAACATTTGCATTTTATGAAAATATTTGCAAGCGAACATGATTTAAACACGTTCATCCAATTAAACAATTCGCTTTGGCAATATTGCCTTGGCAGTGGTGCACAAACACGGTTGGCTACGTACGGGGCGAAAGCAGTTGAACGTACGTGCGCGCAATAAGAAAGCGCATTCGTTAATACCACTGTGGCCTTAAAAAAATATAATAAACGACGACGTTTCGGGTAATGACCCTTCTATTTATGTACTATTAATAAGGGGTGTTTTTTTTTCATTTTAAGGCCACATTATTTTTTCTTGACGAATTTTTTGCGCTATTTTCTTTGAATGTGTCAATCGCACGACTGCTACCATAATAACCATCGTTAGAATGCACTTTTTTTTTCAAAGAATAAAGTCCTCGTCTCATATGAAACGTTGGCTCTGCATTTAATTTATATCGACGATGCAAGCGATCACACGTTCGGAGGGGTGGTATCTTTCAAGACAAATATTCCCCCGCGTAGCCTTAACAGACCTTTGGCACAATTGCTTTCAGCGAGTGCCTACGAAGGGGCTGCGTGGGCCAGCAACCACTCTCGGCCGCCTTTGTCTCCCTAATGCTGAGTCGACCTAAGGGAGACCCAGAAACCGGTTCAAATAATCGTTACCGGCGTTGTGCCGTGAGCGGGATTCGAACTTGGGTTGCCGCTTTCGTAACGCGGCGCACTAATCACTGCGCCACCACTCTTTCATCACACACACGCAAAGTCACGTTGCATGTGCAGACACAAACATCACATACACGCCGCACACACACACACACACATGTATAACATAACATGTAGTATGTTGAGCTTAGACTGGTATGAACGGTTATGCTAGCACCGATGTCAACGACCATTTCACGCGGACCAACACAGCTATCATTGTGTCTACACACAAAGACAAAGATCCCCGCAGTTATAGCCTTGACAGACTGTTGGGGCATAGCGCTGTTAGCAAGCGGAACCTATGAAGGCTGGCACGGCACACGAGGGGGTGGAGTGGCCAGCATCCCGGCCGACCGCCTTTGTCTCCCTTGTGGCGATGCACACCGGGACATTGACTCATACCTACAACACATTCCTACAAAGATCAGCACCTTCGGCCATACACTGCAGCCTATATGAGAAGGTACCGTAGGCAAGAAAGTCCATACAACAACGACGGCGATTCATTCACCCCTCCACCCCCCCCATGCTGGCATTCAGACAATCCGGGCAAGTTCTGCTTAGCGAACATGTAGATTCATGCACACAAACACAAAGATCCCCCGTATAGCCTTCTACGGACTGTCGGGACAAGTGCTCGTGAGCCAGTAGCACTGTGAAGGTCGGTTACAACACACGAGGGGATGATTGGGTTGGTCAAGCATCACGTCCGGCCGCCTTTGTCTCCCCTGTAGTGCTGAATGTTGACACCGCGCAAGGTACTAATTTAAGGCTGAGTCGACCTAGGGAGAGGTAAGCCCCCGGACCGGTTCAAATTATCGCCACTTGTTTATTGGTCGTGAGCGGGGATCGATATCAGGTGGCCGGGATTCGCAGCCTACGCAGTTCGCTAACCACTGCGCCACCGCTCCCCAAACAAACACGACATGTAAATATATATGCATACGACATGTGTAGTCTAATTACACGTTCAATAAACATTCGGCTGTCGAGTTGATCGCAATGCGCATTGAGGTTTACCGCGCTGCAATTGGATACATTTGCGGAGGGTCGAAAGCGCTGCACGCATCACAGGAGACGTCAAATCGCACGACAACTTTCGGCTCGCAACGCCGCTGACGTTATGCGTCTCCTGTTTAATGACGGACCTTTGAAAACTAACATACGAACTACATCACAGTTTCATCCTTCTAGTATTGCTAATGGAGCAATTACATCCTAAACAGCCCGCCACATGGACTCCCTCGTAAAGCGTACGTCGGAGTGAGTACAGGTATGCAGTGTGCATGCGTGCGAGCGCGTCGTAATCCATTCACGTTGACACCGAGGAGCTCCTGAACATATGGGCCATCGCGCGCAACCAAAGGGAGTACAATTAATTCAAAAGCGACGCAGTGCATTCGAGATGAACGTCTTAAGGAAGGACCGCGCGAGGTATCAAGAGCCAAGCAGCATAGCGGAGTCGTGTAACGTGGACCAGAGGCGCGCGCGCGCGCGCGGTGATGATGATGATGATGGGTTCCGGAGCGGAGCGGCGGAATGAACTGGTGAAACGTTTTAGGGATCGCACTGCTCCACCGCCGTCTCTCTCACTCTCACCTGTGTTCGGTTCGGATTCCCTCGACGAATCCTTCACCCCTTGAGAGGGTTGACGCGCCGGGTGAAAATACCCAAGTGCTGTCGACTTCCAAAATCAGGCAGCCTCGCACCCCCACCCCAACACACACACACACACCCTCCAACTATAATTAATAACGATTAGTATTAACTATCGGTTCGGTTACGAGAGTGATAATAATAATCCACACCCAAAGCCCTCTCTTTCGCAGCAGAGGCGCCTGTAATCCTATGCGGGTTCTTCGCTGGTCGGTGGCAGTCTGTGGTCGGTGTAGGCGGCAGTGGGAAACACCGCGCCGGGGGTGGTGTGGCCGAGGGAGAGAGCGAGGCGAGATGGGGGTGGTGGGGGTGGTGGTGGTGTGGTGAAGAGGGGAGAGGGCGGGAGAGGCAGGGGGAGAGGGAGGTGGGGGAGTGAGCTGGGTGAGACTATCCTAATCCACAAAAGGGTCTCTTACGTAGATTCATTCTCCCGCTTATGAATAACACAAAGACTCCCACTCCCCCCCCCGCCGCGCGCCCCCACGTGTAGCTTTGACCGACGGTTGGAGCAAGTGCCGTGAGCGAGTAGCACCTACGAAGGCCGGCACGGCACACGAGTGTTGGGTGTGGGTGTCCAGCGCCACGCCCGGCCGCCTTTGTCTCCCTAAATACGATGTTTACACAAACCGAACCAGGTACTAAGGAAGACCCAGAACCGGTTCACATACAGTCTTCACTGGTGTTGTTGCCGTGAGCGGGAATCGAACCCGGGTCGGCGGGTTCGTAGCGCGGCGTAGCGCTAACCGCTACACCACCGCTCCCCATACAACAACAGACGCACACACGGACACACACACACACGCGCGCGCGCCCCACTGTGTCTCGCTCCCCGTGGAACGAACGTCCCATTGTTAACCACGGCGTGTACGCGCAATTAGGCAGTACAGGAGGAGGGAGGCTGGTTGGGAAGGTGAGATAAGCCACCGGGGGGGGCGGGGGGCGGGGGGCATTATTTGTGTTGTCAGCAGCAGCAGCAGAAGGTGGTTATTGTAATCGTGGGTGGAGGAAGGGAGGACCACCAAGCCACGCACGCGAGTCCACAGCTGAAGTTCTCAAGCTCCGCAGTATGCGGCGTGATCCGCGAATATTTTGCGGAATTCGCGGATTACAGGATCGCGCATGATTACGGGGCCGGGTGGTGCTGGAGGGGGGGGAGAGTGCAGAAAGTCAAGTTTGGGGCAGAAAATAATAAAATAATAAAATATCCGCGGATGGGAGCAGATGTTTGCTAACTTCATTCTATTCCCTGCAATTAGTCTCCACGTCATTTTTTTACATTAATAAATCTGCTGTTGGGCGAATGCTTCCTTCTCCATACTTCACCACTGATTGGCCGTGTCGGGTGGTGGAGGTTTGCGACACATTTATCAATAACGCGATCTAACCCAAAACCCTTTATTGTGATGAATGCGGCTTGGTGAAGGGAGGAGTGGTGCATGGCGGGTTCAGACGTCACTCGCCACTGACGTTAGCCGTGAGTGGGAGTTGAGCTTGGAAAGCCGGGTTCGTAGCGCAGTGCTCTTAACCACTTGCGCCACTGTTCACGAACGCATCTGAACAGGGCAGCGAGCAGTGGATCTCCTTGTTATCTGCCTTCTCGCGATTAGAAGGAACGAATGATATAACACTACTCCGATGGGCTTCACTCATTTTCAAAGGGGGGGGGGCACTTGCGTCGATGATATTCAATGCGTGAGGGCCGCCACGCATTGTAAACCATTGGGGGGGTTGACAGCAGCACGATGATGACGGACGGGGGGGGCGGTGGTGTCACTCGTTGTGTGTTGTCGGGAGACCACACGTCAGTGGCCGCACTAAAGGCCACCAGGGGCCCGCCAGTGGCCGCGTGGTGTTCCTGCAATGAAGACCGCGGCTCTAATCCTATTAGCTAGCAATAGTGTAGCTAGGTAAAGGCGCAGCCCTGCAATATATTGCTCGCGCCACTGCTGGCTGATGGGGAGCTCTGGAGGGCTTTATATCGGATAATGTGTTGGCCGGCCGCTCCCCGCACTGGCCAGACGTCTCTAAGGAGGAGTGCGCAGAAGGGCATGACTGTTGTATATTGAACACTCGTGCACCTTACTCTCTGGCCCCAACGCAAACATCTCTGTCTGGCGTTCGACCACACTCAGTGTACGCAGCTTTTCCTTCCGGGGGGAGGCAACTTGGCTAAGTGCCAACCCTGCCCTGGCCAATGCATATTGCGTCGGATTCACATTCCGACTTTAATCAATCAGCTGCGAGTGGCATATGCAATGGGAGGCGACTACGCAGTGTCTGGAACTGCTGGAGATACAACTCGCTCTACTGGAGTTGTCAGCGGAATTGGGAAGGATGTGTAACTTTGTAAGAAAAATGATATATATGTAATGACATACCAAGGCACCACATGGGTAATCCAACCTATTCCATAACAAACGCTAACTTTAATGCAAGTGAGTGTGACTTCAAAACAAAAAAATATCTGGAAATTGTAAACGTAAGATTTCACTTTGCTGCTGTGCGTAGCTACTGCATGACAAGGCTGTTGCGAAGCCTTACTAAGCAAAGCCATTGGCCAGGACAGTACGGCTGATTGTTTATAGGTGGTCAACAAAGGACCATCTGTCAAGCGCAGCCAGTAACATACCAATGCATGCCACGCGGGTAATCCACGTCTAATATCTCATGCAATCTATGGGTGTGCATTATTCAGCCAATTGTAGATTCCAGTGCTGAGTGTCCTTAATTTACGCGCTTCATAGGATGGCCAATTCTGATTTGCCGCTGTTTTATCGAAGCTGAATTAATGAAGAACTTGGGTTGAGTCCACCAAACACGATGTGACATCACACAACGCGCTGCAATGACCGATGCGTGTTACATATTGGCGGTATACCCTCATACATCTCCGCAATATGTATTCTCTGATTTTCATGTTTGATCACACATTGTGAGTTGCTTAGTGTCCGGCTCACGGCTAACATCAGTGGCGAGGGATACCTCTGCAACCATTGCTGGGCCACTTCCTCCACCCAATCCGCACTGACCAAACGTGGTGAAGTATGGTCAAACAAACCTCCCCCTCTCCTGAATGACACGAAATAACTTTTTTATTATGTCCATGTAACGGTACTATTGAAGCATGCAAACGATATAATGTGTACAGTATTGTACTATTAATCCGATGCATGTACTTGTGTGTAAATTAATGCAGCGTGTACTGTGATCGCTATAGGTGTACAGCGGTTATATCTGATGTATGATGATTATAGTATGCATCAAATTAAATCCATAATGTTTTGAGTTCATTACACCCAATGTTTATGGTAGAGCAGGATATATGCCAAGACTGCAGAGAGTAATGTTTGAAACATGCACACATTGAGTGGAGATTGTGTAAGTAACGACCGGAGTCACCTGACCACATGTGCCATGTTATAATTGCATAATGTATATGCATGCATTGATTGTGGTCATGTGTGCAATTTATTCAGGACGTTTGTTAATGACTGCAGTAAATCATATGATAAATGCTGTATGTACGAGATTGCTCGAATATGTAATGAGTGCAATATATGGACTGATGGAATTCATGTACTATTGTACATGTCTTCAGTTTGTAAGTAGAATGCAATGATTGTATGTACGTGCGATGCACTCACTGCCGTACAATAATTGCAGCGCGCATCCAATGCATTTTCTGTCTGACACGTAATGAATGTATACAATGCCTGTAAGGCTATGCATCGATATGCATGTGGGTCCTCATAGGGTTTTCATCCGCACGTAATGACATCTGCGTAAATCCGTCTCAGCCCTGAACTCCTCTGGAACAAGCCCCCTCTCTCTCTCTCTCTCACACAACCCTCCACCATCTTATCTATTTTTAGCCCCGAGTCTTTGCCACTGGACCCTTAAAGGTCTCAGAACATTGGGATGCACACACGCACACACAGCGGGCGTTTGCGCCAGGTAGCCTGTTTCCAAAAAAAAAACAGCCACGGACGGGGAAGCACGGGACGCGTATGGGGAAAAAAGGCAAAGCCGCGTGTCCTCTGCGTTTGAGCACGGGTTGACAACACATCGTGAACATTGAACCCTTGATAGCGGATCGCCGTGGCTATTGCCGAAATGCGATCGGAAGAGTTGGTTTGGGTCGGATTTGGAACGTGATAAAATTGAGAACATTCTTCCCCGCGCGCAAACGACGCTCGGGTTGCACTTTGTCTGGACGCAGCAGCGACACGTGTGTTCGGGTGCCAACACTAACACTGTTTCATCGTCATCGACAACATCACTGAAATGACTGCTTTTGGTGGGTTTTTGGCCAAAGAAAATTTGAACACATCAAGTTGTTGTTCAAGAGGCTCCTGACCTCAGCGTCGACGTATATACAAAAGAGAGACTTTATTGTTACATTCAATTCACAGGCATTTACAGGATACGTTCTACAGCGTGTAGCAATGGCACGTGCTCTGTTCGCGTAACGTTGGAGGGACGTGATATATGATTGATTGGATGTGTCGGATGCCTCCTGCTTGAGGAAGACGGTGGGCTCTGACCTGCCAAAATACTCTGCAACAAACACCGTTGATTGCCGTCAGCCAGCAGTGGACATTCCACATTCCTGTGCTGGGTCAAATATTTCTCCATATGACAACCCGCATTTAACTTTTTTTTAAGTAATAAAGTGCCAGCACTATTTTTTTTTAAATCCCGTGTGTGGACTCCCTCCAACACGACTGTGAATCAAGTGCTCCGACAGTTTTGTTTCTTGAGTGGAAGGCATGGACACACCATTACTCGGCTGCCACGACAGTTAGTTAATGCAGTGCATTCATAATACGGTGATATTATATGTAATAAAGCAAAGGTTTTTTTAGGTTAGATTGCGTACATATGAATGTGTCATATTCTTGGTTCTTTCGGTAAAGTCACGTAGAAGGGAAATAATGAGAATTTTATAGCATTATTTTATTATTTCCCATCTACGTGACTTTACCGAAAGAACCAAGAATATGAATCCCTGCAGTCACGAAAGCTTAAAATCGAAATTTATGAATGTGTCGTTAAACCTGCCACCACCCGACACAGCCAATCAGTAAGGTTGGTCACGTAAACAAAACGTGCCAATTGGATACTAGTTCAGCACACAGGTGTGTGTTGGAGAGTAAACCCACTGCAACATTTACAATTCGAGTACTGTGACGTTTCGCCGGCAATTACAACAACAACAACCGGCTTCATCATGCGATAGCCAGAATTGTGAAGAAGTCTTCCTGTTGCGGTCTTAAATCGGAGAGTAAAAGGTGATGTCATCACTGTGG